AACCATGACAAATTCAAAAGTCTATTCAAATTTGCCTTTATCTTCCTGCGAAAAGTTTTTTCATGCGAAATCACCGATCTCACGTGAAAAAGCTTTCTAAATGAGTAGTTGTTTACATTTTATTCGTGGTAGTCGGCATAGCACGGTGAGTTCCAGTGCCACGATTTTACGAGAATGAGTAAGGCACATAGATAGTAGAGCCAGTGCGAGCCTCTGCGAAGCAGAGGTGACGCACTGGTAAATATATAATGTAAGTATCATCATAACTTATAATAACGGGCTAAGGGTGTTTACGTGTTTTTGTGTGTGTGTGTGTGTGAGAGTGTGTCTGTTACGAAATTCGTAGAGCAGGTTCCAGCCAACCTTTTGAGCCCAAATTTTGCATGGAGCATGCTACCAGCTCAAAAGCCCAACGCACGAAAGCACGAGCGGATCCGGTGAATGGATCCTTCAAAAATTGCCCGCCAAGCGGATCCACATGGCTTTTGGCCCGCGTAAGTGGGCCTGTATTACAATCTCTTGCGAATTTTGGATTTATGTCACATGCACATCTGTAAGCTGAGCGTTTCAATGCAAAAATTCTCAAAAAAATTCATTCCCACGCGGAGGCGGCGCCAAAATGTGGATTTTGAGTAAATTCTCGATTTTCGAGTGTTCTACTGGAGGAACTGAGGAGATTTTTGCTCAGAAATGCAGTACGGAATCGTCGTTGTCATCGTGGCAATCGTTGCATTATTAGCAAAACAAAAACTATTTCAAAAACGTGTTTGATCTTAAGCTGCAAAAATTTTTTCGCCCAACATCACCGATTTCTTATGCTAGGACATTCGAAATGTGTAGTTCGTAGTAATTCATTTGTGATGCGCGGCATTACTCGGTGAGTTTTATTTTCAGAGAGAGGGAAGCAAGATGCATTGGATAACACAACTGCATGTGGTGTATTCAGATGAAGCAACGTAATCGTAGCTTTGCTTCTTTCTTTCCCTCAGCAAGTCAGTGATTGCAGCGAACGAGATGTTGCGAGCACGTGTACGTGCTGCGTCAATCCACGAGCACTTACATTCTGCAAGTTTTATTTTTCACAAAGAAAGTAAATGAGAGAAGTTATGTCAGAAGGCTAGAACCAGCAAGTCTAAACATTATCAGTCGAATGGCGGTAAAGATTTGTTTGAAAGCCTTGACAAACATAGTATTTTGCCTGATACAGAAGTCACGACGTATGGGAAAAGGTAGTGGTGAGCTTTGATGAACATATGCTCGAAAGTTGATAGATTTCTACACTTACGAACACCATCTGCTGTTTTTGCATGAACATCAATTGTAGTAAGTTTTCAAGCAATAAGTGCATATGACAAAGACGCTTATAAAGAGTACATGAACCCATACATAGTTCTGAGAACACGGCTTCCCAGAATTGAAGCAAATCAAAAGCCAACATTGAAATCAAAGTCTACTGTGGCAGTGGTTTACTGCTATGTGATATATGCTACTGTCATGAAAGTCCAACGCGCAAAAGCACGAGCAGATTCGTTGAGTGGATCCCTCAGAAACTGCGCATCAAACGGATCCACTTTACATTTGGGCCCCAAAATTGGGTCCATAATTCCACTTTTTGCAGAGTCACGGATGTTTATGTCAAGTAAATGTGCATGCCATGATCTTAGGCCTAAAAAAGTGATCAAAAGCCCATTACTTTACAAAAACGGCGCCAAAAGGTATTGGTTGCGTAAATGGTCAATTTGCTAAGATTCCACCAGAGCATTTGGTGAGATTTGTGCGCGAAGATGTAGCTTACGGTGACTGCTGTTCTAATTGCAACCGTCAAGACCATGGGAAAATCCAAAACTTATAGAAATTTGCGTTTGTTCTCCTGCAAAAAGTCTCATCCATCTCATCCACGCGAAATCACCGATTTTACTAAAAAAAGCTTTCGAAATGAGTAATTGTTTACATTTTGTTCGTGATAGTTGGCACTGCTCGGTGAGTTCCAATGCCATCATTATGCGAGAATAAGTAGGGCTTAGATAGTAGAGCCAGTGCGAGCCTCTGCGAAGCAGAGGTGACGCACTGGTAACTTATAATAACGGGCTAAGGGTGTTTACGTGTTTGTGTGTGTGTGTGTGTGTGTGTGTGTGTGTGTGTGTGTGTGTGTGTGTGTGTGTGTGTGTGTGTGTGTGTGTGTGTGTGTGTGTGTGTGTGTGTGTGTGTGTGTGTGTGTGTGTGTGTGTGTGTGTGTGTGTGTGTGTGTGTGTGTGTGTGTGTGTGTGTGTGTGTGTGTGTGTGTGTGTGTGTGTGTGTGTGTGTGTGTGTGTGTGAGAGTGTGTCTGTTACGAAATTCGTAGAGCAGGTTCCAGCCAACCTTTTGAGCCCAAATTTTGCATGGAGCATGCTACCAGCTCAAAAGCCCAATGCACGAAAGCACGAGCGGATCCGATTAATGGATCCTTCAAAAATTGCCCGCCAAGCGGATCCACATGGCTTTTGGCCCGCGTAAGTGGGCCTGTATTACAATCTCTTGCGAATTTTGGATTTATGTCACATGCACATCTGTAAGCTGAGCGTTTCAATGCAAAAATTCTCAAAAAAACTCATTCCCACACGGAGGCGGCGCCAAAATGTGGATTTTGAGTAAATTCTCGATTTTCGAATGTTCTACTGAAGAAACTGGGGAGATTTTTGCTCAGAAATGCAGTACGGAATCATCGTTGTCATCGTGGCAATCGTTACATTATTAGCAAAACAAAAACTATTGCAAAAACGTGTTTAATCTGAGGCTGCAAAAATTTTTTCGCCCAACATCACCGATTTCTTATGTTAGGACATTCGAAATGTGTAGTTCGTAGTAATTCATTTGTGATGCGGGGCATTACTCGGTGAGTTTCATTTTCAGAGAGAGGGAAGCAAGATGCATTGGATAACACAAGTGCATGTGGTGTATTTAGATAAAGCAACGTAATCGTAGCTTTGCTTCTTTCTTTCCCTCAGCAAGTCAGTGATTGCAGCGAACGAGATGTTGCGAGCACGTGTACGTGCTGCGTCAATCCACAAGCACTTACATTCTGCCAAGTTTTATTTTTCACAAAGAAAGTAAATGAAAGAAGTCACGTCAGAAGGCTAGATCAAGCAAGTCTAAACATTATCAGTCGAATGGCGGTAAAGATTTGTTTGAAAGCCTTGGCAAACATAGTATTTTGCCTGATACAGAAGTCACGACGTATGGGATAAAAGGTAGTGATGAACTTTGATGAATATATGCTCGAAAGTTGATAGATTTCTACACTTACGAACACCATCTGCTGTTTTTGCATGAACATCAATTGTAGTAAGTTTTCAAGCAATAACTGCATATGACAAAGACGCTTATAAAGAGTACATGAACCCATTACATAGTTCTGGGAACACGAATTCCCAGAATTGAAGCAAATCAAAAGTCAACATTGAATTCAAAGTCTATTGTGGCAGTGGTTTACTGCTATGTGCTATATGCTACTGTCATGAAAGTCCACGCGCAAAAGCACGAGCAGATTCGTTGAGTGGATCCCTCAGAAACTGCGCATCAAACGGATCCACTTTACATTTGGGCTCCAAAATTGGGTCCGTAATTCCACTTTTTGCAGAGTCACGGATGTTTATGCCAAGTAAATGTGCATGACATGATCTTAGGCCTAAGAAAGTGATCAAAAGCCCATTACTTTACAAAAACGGCGCCAAAAGGTATTGGTTGGGTAAATGGTCAATTTGCTAAGATTCCACCAGAGCATTTGGCGACCATGGGAAAATCCAAAACCTATAGAAATTTGCGTTTGTTCTCCTGCAAAAAGTCTCATCCATCTCATCCACGCGAAATCACTGATTTTACTTAAAAAAGCTTTCGGAATAAGTAATTGTTTACATTTTGTTCGTGATAGTTGGCACTGCTCGGTGAGTTCCAATGCCATCATTATGCGAGAATGAGTAGGGCCTAGATAGTAGAGCCAGTGCGAGCCTCTGCGAAGCAGAGGTGACGCACTGGTACTTGATATAAAACTGAAAACCCACTTTTACCTGATTTGTACAGTTTTCTTCAATTTTGTGCCTCTTGAGAGTTTACAAGTTTGGACTTTCAAAAGCTTATAACTTCTTTTAGAGAATGTTGCACAGAAACCGAAAACAGGTTTGGAATCAGCGTTTGAAAATGTTTCTCAAGATATACCTGTTTTTGGTTGGTTAAATCACCGTGATATCTTCCCTCATTAGACAATTAGCCGAACTTGGAAGCACATAAGGAATCATCAGACCTTCCTCGTGAAGATAACTTTTTTGTATTCTTGACAATTTCACTCTGGACTAGTCAATGTTCAGGGAAATGTGGTCACTAAAGAATGTTTGGAAATTTTCTGGTGAGAGACATTATATATTTGGACAGTTATCGCGAAAGTGCTGATATTGCTCAAGTACAGATACTAACGCATTTTTGCAAACATCCACTTTGAATGTTTAATCATGAAAATGCTTGATCTGCTTATCTAATCGGAAATTAAATTACTTTTTCGAGTGTAAGAAGTGCCAAAATTTGCGTCAGAGCATTCTTTTATAGAATGCCGGTAATCACCCCATCACAACTACAAAAATCTAATTTGTGATTGTATCGCTCATGATTCCAAAACAATGTCCATTTCTTATATAAAAAAACTATCATGAAGAAAATCTAGAATATGTTCGAGATATTTTTGAGCCAGCAAAAGAATGATCAAAAGGCTGTGCCTAAACGAGTTTGAGCCATTTTGATGTATAATCGCCAGAACCGAGGACCCACTAAGGTCTAAGACTTTAAGATGTGAAAGTGATGTGTGCTTAAAACGCTTGCTAGGTTTCTTGCTTAGTTGCAAAGCAGTTTGCAGCGTTTGACCGCGCAATGACGGCAGCAATCAAAAAATGTTTTTGATTTCTCATTCCTACCATGGCAAGCGGTGTGAGCTTGTCAAAACTTGAACCAATGTCGAGTAACGAAATGTGTTTCATTTACGCTTATCTGCTTGCCGAAGTACGTTCGTTTCTTTTACTGCCAGTAAATGGAGAGTCAGTTGAGAGGCACAAATCCTCTATCAATCCTCTATCTGATGTTAAAGGCACCGTCCACCCACATTCTTGACTTCCAGGTTTTTGTCATTTCAGGGCGTTCTCATGTCCCTGGTTATATGAAGTCGAGAATCCGCGAAGACCCAATCCCCATTCTGGGGTACCCACAGGCCGGCTCTCCGGAACGGTGATTGGATGAGCGGGCACGGATGGCCGGGCATTTTCTCGTTTCTGAAGCAACATTTTGCGCCGCAACTTGGTTATTGGCTTGACAGGAGGTCCTATTATCATATTCTGCCAAAAGCTCAAGCCCCTCAAATTAGGGTGGACGGTGTCTTTGAGCTGAAGTTTTATACAAGCGCTACCGCATGTTGAGGAAGCTTGAAGAATATAGCAACAACATTTCCATAATTAGCATGCCAAATAACCCATGCGGACCAAGATTTAGCAAATCCTAACAAGGGAATGGTCAGAAATCGAAGTAGCCAGTTCAAACAAGCTGCATACCATTAGATGCAGTTTCGAACGCTGACTCTAAATCTGTCTTCCGTATCTGCAGAATGCTTTTGTAGGCGAAGTTTTAAGCCGTTAAAAGTCATTATTTTGATAAGAAATTGTGCATGTAAGGTCAAACTTGGACCTACAAAGCTATTCTCGACTCAGCGTTGGACCAAAACAATGTAACTAGATCAGCTCATATGGCTCATACCTAGAAGTGAGCTAAAAGAGCAATGATCTGCCTAATCGCAGTTTTTGTGGACAATTTTTTTTCGCAGTAAAGCTGCTCATAACTTCGCCCACAAAGGCGCTCTGCAGATACGGAAGACAGATTTGAAATCAGCATTCTATGCTGCATCGATTGGTATTCAGCTTATATGGATTGGCCACTTCGACTTCTGACCATTCCCTTGTAAGGTTTCCAGATATTGGGCCACTCGGAAATGGTCATTTTCGAACATGTTATCTATGTTTCAGAAGTGAGTCTTATTTGCACATAATACACATTACTACTTCTTTGCCATAGTGCAAATCAGACTTCAAATAATCGCTAAACTTTGGAATTACGAGCAAGCCAAAACTCGTTTGTCCCACATTTTGCTTTTGATGTTTCCCACAAAGATGACCAATCAAGCGCAAATCAATCCTGTGAAAATTACGAGGTTTGCTATCGATTACATGTATTCTTGCTGCTTTCTTTCGCGATTCACGTGGTAACGCTGACTTAGCATGCTACCGTAAATCAATATGTTGCATTTGCATAGGATACGAAAAACGATTAGAAGACATTGTGGTTTGCGTAGAAAAAAAAGGTTTAACAGTGATGATGATATAAAGCTCAGATATTTGAATGCTTTGAATGTATTTTAGTGGGTTGTGGCACAGCACCCAAAAAGGTGTGACAGCCACAGATTTGGGGTTGTGCCATACCCCAATAACTTACCTTTAAGGAGAATTTTACCGAATAATTCAAACAGCAATAGCTCGAACTCCGTAGTTCTCATAACAATGAATTGAGCCTAACTCATCTTCTTTTTTCTATCTGATAGTCGCTGAAAGCAGTACTACTGAATGCGAAAAAATGGGATAAATGGGATTTTGGCTGGTTCCTAGTTCCACAAAAAATACTAAAATTAGACTTCTCAGAAAAGCAGAGAAGGAGTAGTGCTTTGTACAGAAAAGGTAGCTAAGTCATTTCTAAAATGAAGTCCATGTTTGAAATTGACCATTTCACTTGAGTGGCTCAATATTGGGAACCTTCACAATACGCTAAAATTTGGCTCATAGAGCTTATTTTACATGCCTTTGCGCATTCATTACTAATTACCCTGCTATAATAACGTGCTAAGGCCGTCTGTTTTTTGTCTGTGTGTGTGTCTGTGTGAAAATCTTTCTGTCACGAAATTCATAGAGGAAGCTGCAATCAAGCTATCGGGCTGCAATTTTGCATAACATACCGTGCCAGCGTGTGGGCCTACCATGCGCAAGGACGAGCCGGTTCGATAAGCGGGTTCCTCAAAATTTGAGCGCTTAACGGGTCCATGCGCCTTTTGGCACGCAAAACTGGGTTGCTAATTCGACTTTTTGCAAAGTTATGATTTGCCTGACAAGTAACTCTGAGCGCCATGAATTCTAGCCGAAAAAGTGCTCAAAAAGTTTGGTTTTTTGCGAAAACATCGCCAATAAGTGATGAACGCATAGACAGTCGATTTGGCAAGGTTTTATTTGGTAAAATTGAAAAGATTTTTGCACTGAAATGTAGCCCAAGGTGAATATTATCCTTATACGATTATCAAACTAAAATAAATTCAGTAGTCCTTTCAAATTCGCATTTGTTTCCTTGCAACAAAGTTTTTTTTCTCAAAATTACCGATCTTACACGGAGATGCTTCATGAATGAACAGTTGTTTACGATTTATTTGTAATGCTCAGCATTGCGTAGTGAGTTTCAAAGCCATTCTCATGCGAACACGAGAAAGGCATACGGATAGAGAGCCAGTGCGAACCTCCGCGAAGCGGAGGTGACGCACTGGTGCTTAATATAACACGTTATGCCTACGGTAAGCAAGCGACGCTGGAGGTGGGAGAAGGGGAGGGGGGGGTCGTATCCTGTGGTTGTATGCCACACCTCTTGCTAGACCCTGGCTGAGGCATGTCAAAGCATCTGCACAATTACGATTCACATTTGAAATGTAGTACATCAGAGCATCGATGACTTTCCGTGCGTAAAATCTTCATACGGTGTTAAACCTTGTACTACATGACAATCATCATTAGAAAATTCTGAGCTCCATTTCCTGACGTGAGCATCGTAGTTTTCTAGAACACTGAGGACGACAAAGCATAGCAATTCAAGACCAATCCGAAAAGTATACTACCATACGGCAGAAATTCATTGTTTATTGTACACATTCTTCCTCTCTCCATATGTGATTTTCTACCCTAATTCTATGAATGCGATGTACGAATAGATTTAATGTTGTCAAATCTGTCTTTTTCAGTCGGCTGCATCGACGTCATGAGACCACTGATTTAAGACCATGCGCATGTTCATCGCAACTGTGTCAGCCAGTTTTTGGATAGTGCAGTCTTATAGAACAATGGCAGTGAGTTCCTGGTTAAAGCAGAAATTATTACGGTTAGAGTCCCAAAATTTCAGAGATATGCCATTAATGAAAAAAAGGGTCGCATTTTTTGCTGAACACTTGTTGCTACGTTAAAACCAAAAGGCTACCTAGAACGATAGACAAAAATTCTCTTATATGGCTTCAGTGTGTATGCCAGACTTACCTGATGATAACACTAAAAATATTACGCTTCATGCTTCAAGCGCATTTGTCAAACAGTTTGTATGCTAAAAACTGAGAGTGCGAGTTTATAGTGCATAACATGGCAATTTTTTCTGTGAGCATTCACGGATTTCAAGTGCATGCTCACAGCTAGCTCTGTAAGTTGAACGCGAGTCTGATTCAAGTATGTTTACGGCAAATTATAAGCATTTGCAGTAGTTTGAAAAACGCGCGACGAAAGGTATTGCCTGAGGTATAATCGATGCATTGTCAATCAAAAGACTTGCTGTTTTTTTTGCCCTTTGCGCTTTGAAAGCGTTTACACAACTGAACTTCAAACAAAACATTTTTGGACTCTGAACTTACGAAAACAATGGCGTGAAAGTCTGCTTTGAAGTTGCCGAGACTAAAACTTGTCCCTTAGAAAGAGTCGGTAGTGGGAAGTACGTTTTGAAAACTTCGAAAAGCGGGCATTGCGGGAGATAACGGATTACAAGAAGAGGGTAGTTGCACCCTGTCATGTCACTTGGGAATAGTCTGTTTTTCCCTGGACAGAAAATAGAAAAATTGGAACAGGTGCATCAATACAGAAAGAGGAAAGAGCAGAAGTAGAGAGAAACAGAGATGAAAGAGAAAGAGGAGAGAAAGAAAGAAGAAGCTTAAGAAGGAAAAGAAACACAAAGAGCGGAAAGTTTCAAATATTCTGGGTTGATGATTTTTTCCTTCTCGCATCGCTGGTCTTGTATACAACGCAAAGACTGCACGCCGTGGCGTCTGACCCAAACACTTTGTGCTTGTAGACAGCAGATCGTAAGAGAAATGAAAGACCGCTCGATCAGAGAGACGTCGGTACGTCCGCAGTCTCTGCGTGCTACGAAGGGTGTGTGCCAAGATGAACGATAGCTGGAAATAAGCATACTGTACTCCTGCGGCTGTCAATATGCCGCGCATAAAGTCTTATTTTTTGAAGCTATGCTCTTTCCTGGATTGCAAATGGTGTCGAAAAGTAAAGATTAAGGCCCGTTAAGCTCCCAGCGTTTTTTCCAAATTCCTAAATGCCATCATAACGTAAATATAGAATCTGAAAATTATTTGACCTACGCAACGCATATGGCTGGCACAACCTATCGTTCATGTTGGCTGCCCCCTGCTACGAATCGTCTATATCATCTTACCCTCTCTTCATACCCTCTCATAAAGTGCACCTAATTCCCCAAAGCAAACACTTTTTTCCCGAAAGACAGACCGGAATTTTAAGGAACTGTTTAGGATCCCGTTATCAAAATGTCTTCACTATCTTTCAATGATGTATTAATCACCATAAGCTTATTGGACTGTTCTATGGCAATGCTATTATGCAGAAAAACATTCCTAACATCTCCAGTTATATATTAGGCTGGAAACTAAGTTTTGCAACTTCTTTCATAACGTTACTCTCTTTGTATGTGACTCATCAAACTTTGGCAACGTGTAGAGCGCAATTTATACTGCAAATGCGACTAACTATTTGAATTCTGAACAGGATCAGAGAAATTCCGTCCATTTTTGAAAACTAGTGAATTTTCAGAATTTATGGGATTATTAGCCAAAATGAAGCTGTAAGCAGCCTAAACAATGCTATAATCCGAAATCGTGTAAGGATTATCGCTAGAGGTTGACTCATTCGGCTCAGCTAAAAAAATTTAGAAGCTGTCGAGATTTGGCACTTTCACAAAGTTGAACGAATGTGCTGTGCGCAAGGCTGTTCCGAACACTACCAATGACCGAAACATCGAAATTTGCCGAGACTTCGCATAGTGAGGGTTATTTGACCTGCCAAACACAAATATCACATTTGTTTGTTAGATCAACGTCTCTTTCCTGGCTTGGGTGAGACCTTGATCGTAAACCTACAATAATATTACAAAAAAAGCGCCTATCGCGCAACTTCTATCGTTTTCGTGATCAGCGTCTCGGATAGCCCCCTCAGCCAGTTTCAGCCAAGTCCGTCAAATTTCATAATTCATACCCTTATACTATATGCCTGCCGTAACCCTCATTGCAATGTCAGAATTTGGTAGAACAGCAGCTCTCAGCTTACGTCATGACCTACACAGCGGCAAAATTTGAGTGTGTTAATTGAGAGGGAGGAAGAAGGTAGCGGGTTCGATTATTCCGCAGTGGGCCTAATTTCTTTGGCAAAGCTCTTGCCCCACGAATCCAGCGTCAGGCTGCTCAACCAAGAGGAAGCACGCGACAAGCCGGCTGAAGAAGAAACCACGTCGCATCACATGCTCTTTTATGTTTCTTCAAAGTCTTCGAGTAAAAGCTAGGGCGTTCCCCGGAGGCGACGCGCACTTGGGCCCGACGAGTGTGACCAGTATGCTAGGGCTACCGTCTCAACAGGGTGAGCGGGGACGGCTAAAGAAGCTAGTTCACCATAGGCACGAATACAAGTCCTCAGATAAGCTACGTCTAGCTACGCTTAACGTTGGATCTCTCACAGCTCGACATCGGGAAGTAGCAGATCTCCTAAGAAGACGAAAAGTAGACATCGCCTGTCTCCAAGAAACCAGATGGAAAGGAGAAAAGGCAAGAGACATCGGCGACGGTTTCAAGCTTCTGTACAAGGGAACAACCAGTAGCAGAAATGGTGTCGGGATAGTGGTTTTTGAAGCACTGAGAATAACTGACGTAGATCGGATAAGCGACCGTCTGATGAGCATAGGATTAGATATCGGAAAGAAGAGGCTTCGTGTAGTAACAGCATATGCACCACAAGCAGGTTGCGAAGAAGCTGAGAAAGAAGAGTTCTGGCAGAAGTTCGACGACTACATCAGCACTATACCTCAAGAAGAGATACTACTGATTGGCGCAGATCTCAACGGGCATGTAGAAGAGCAACGGAGTGGTCTTCAGAAGTGTCAGGGAAACCACGGATACGGCACACGTAACGACGAAGGCGAGAGCATTCTGGAGTTCGCAATGTCTCATAACTTGGCAATAGCGAATGCGTACTTCATCAAGAAGACCAACCATCTAGTCACATATGCCAGCGGAGACCGCAGATCGCAGATAGACTTCTGGACGGTGCGACAGAATGAGCTCAAGTACGTGAGGGACAGCAAAGTCATCCACGGCGAAGACTGCATACCTCAACACAGGCCACTGCTTCTAGACCTGAACATCCCCATTAGTAGAAGAAGAAGAGCAAGGACGGACGGTAGAGAGCACATCAAATGGTGGAAGCTCAAGAACAACCTTCAGGCGAAAGCAGCTATGGAGTCAGCCCTGCCAGAAATGGAAGAAGAAACAGACCACACTAGGTGCATCTGAAGAAAAACGTCCATCAGATTGCGAGTAATCTACTAGGACGCACGAAACCGGGAAAGCCAAAGCTCGAAAAGGAAACATGGTGGTGGAATGGTACCGTACAAGAAGTGATCAAGAACAAGAAGATGGCGTATAGGGCATGGCAGAAATCAGGAGGAGAAGATGCGCGTCAAGAATATCTGAGTGCAAAGCGAGCAGCAAAGAAGAGTGTCAAAGAGGCGAAGGAAGCTCATATGGCAGAGATCTACAAGAAGCTGCACACTCGTGAAGGCGAGCGAGACATCTACCGGATAGCAAAAAGAAGAGCAAAAGCCTCGCAAGATACGGACCACTACTACCATATCAAGGATGTCCGCGGAAGAATCCTGAGAAGCCCAAAAGAGATAAGCGCGCGATGGCGAACACACTTCGAAGCAATGTCATCTACAAGTTACGAAAAGCCATCTACCATAGTAGCTGAACCTGTACAAGGACCGGTAACGATGATCACAGAAGAGGAAGTTTGCAACGCTATAACGAAGACAAAGAACAGCAAAGCAACAGGCCCAGACGACATCCCCAACGAGTTCTGGAAAGAGTGCGGCCAAGCTGGAGTCGAATGGTTAACACGACATCTGAACCGAATAGTAGAATGCAAGAAGATGCCCGACGATTGGTATAAGAGTGCAACGATACCAGTGTGGAAGAACAAGGGGGATATAGCAGACTGCTCTACATACCGACCGATACGTCTCATGAGCCATACATTGAAGATATTTGAAAGAATACTGGAAGCGAGACTTCGAAGCATCATAGAGCTAGCCCCCAACCAATGTGGATTCGTGAAGGGATGTAGTACGACGGACGCCATCCATACAGCCAGAATAATGATCGAACGAAGCAGGGAGAAGCAATGTCAACTACACGCCGCGTTCCTAGATCTCGAGAAGGCATTCGACAAAGTTCCGCACGAAATAATATGGTGGGCACTGCGTAAGCACATGGTACCAGAAGACTGTGTACAGTGGATACAAATGATATACAAAGACGCCAGAAGCCATGTCCAGACAGCTGCAGGAACATCAGAAGAATTCACGATACACGCTGGCGTACATCAAGGTTCGGTACTCTCACCGCTGCTGTTCATCACCGTGATGGATGCGATCGTCAAAGACTTCATACGGCAACCACCATGGGCACCTCATGTACGCGGACGATGTAGTACTACTAGCGAGAAGCAGGCAAGAACTACAGATGGAAGTGCAGAAGTGGAAAGATCAGCTAGAGCTGCACCGATTGAAGCTGAATGCAACGAAGACAGAGTATATGGAGATAGGAGCTCAACACCTGGGAGCATCCAGATCGGAGAGACACAAGTCAAGAAGACTACCTCCTTCAAGTACCTGGGAAGCCGTATCTCCGCAGATGGCAGTCTTCACGACGAAGTAACCAGCAGAGTGAATGCAGCTTGGATGAAATGGAGAAGCATGACGGGAGTCCTGTGCGATAGACGAATGCCACGAAACCTCAAGTCGTTGATATACCGAACAGTCATTCGACCGACAGCGCTCTATGGAAGCGAATGCTGGCCGTGCACCCGCAATGAAAAGAGAAAGACTGGCGTCATGGAGACGCGGATGCTGAGGTGGACCGTAGGAGTTACCATGCTGGACCACATCACGAACGACACAATACGAAGCATGATGAAGGTCGCCCCTGTCGTCAAGAAGATGCAAGAACGACGCCTACGATGGTATGGGCACGTAAACCGTCGAGACGAAGACCACATTACTAGACTGGCCATGACAGAAAGCGTACCAGGAAAGAGGCCAAGAGGAAGACCTAAGATGCGATGGCTAGACAGAGTCAAAGCAGATATGAAAGAGCTTGAAATTACTGAACAGCAAGCCTTGGACCGAGAAGAATGGAGAAAACTCACAAGAGCAGCAGACCCCGAATAACGGGAAGAATGCAAGGATTAAAAAAAAATTGAGAGGGAGGAAACCAATGAAATGAGTTGCAAAACACTTAGTGCCCCACCAGTGGCGGTCGCAGGATTTCGGACCTGGGGGGGGGCGCGAAAAAAAAATTTTTTCAAATGAAGGTGCGTGGCGTTAGCCACGCACTCCGAAAAAATTTTGGGGGTACTTCTCAAAATTTTTGCGGGTCCCGAACCCCTAAAATCTGGAAAAAGGGGGCGTGGCGTCAGCTACGCCTCCGAAAAAAAATTTTTATAAGGCTAATTTGAATTTTTAAAACATTTTAAAAATTATTTTAATTATTTACAAAAATAAACAAGTCGTTTGCACACTTTTATAACCCATATAGGTAAGTTTCAAAAATTTCGTGACCCATTCTCGGGGGGGGGGGCGCCCCCCCCCCCTCGGACCGCCACTGTGCCCCACCTAATTCTAAGTGTTATTTTTCGTCCTCTCTTGTTGAAACCTCGGCATAATTCAAACTGTGTCAGTATAATGTAGCCAGCACGAGGTTTGGGCGAAGGAGGACGACGAGTAGTCGAAACGCGTTAGGCCAAGATGTAATAAATTGCTTCGCCCAAACCTCGTGCTGGCTACATTATACTGACACAGTTTGAACTACGTGTTCTGACCTCATAGTGGTAACAGAAAACTATAGAAAATAAGTATATAATAGAAAACACGTGAATAAGGCAAGTACAGGTAGTAGGTTTAGTGCCGAATAAAGTAGTGGATCGTAAGTGAAAAGCAGCAGAGACTGAACTGTTGTGGGGTGAGTACCGCTCCGGATGGCGGCGTGTCTTACACTCTCCTTCTTCTCCCTCGTCTTTCTTTAAGTCGATCGTGCCATGTCAGCTCGGTCTCAGCTTCTACAACCGCGGCTTGCTACAAACAACCTATCACAACTGTTTTCCCACGAAGTGAACTCAGCGGTGTGCTTTTCTTGTGATCTAAGGCATCGCGCAGAGTTCTCGCAAATTTATCGCCTCACAATTCCGAACAAGAAACATTTACGAATCCAATGCCGATCACCTTGCATCTCGATTGTGATAAGTTAAAGACAGTGTCTCACCAAAGTTGGGGTCGCACGGATCTTTGCATATTCTATTATAGGGACTTCTAAATAGGTCACTGTAACAAGTCCCACTTAATTTGACCCCCTCCTGAGAAAAATTCGCTTAAAGTGGTACGCGGAGAGCGACTTGGTACGCGCGGACGATTCCTTCAGTCTCTCCCCTTACGCGTTTGAACATGTCCCTCCACTTGGCATCCACCCCCCCCCCCCCCTCTGTTGCTGCCACTATGGCTGAGCCTGAAGTTAGAATGTACAACTCGTCCACGTTGCTTCCACGAGGCTTCCAGAAAACGGGGTTTTTGGCAACTTCGTGCAATTTTAAGCCCATACAGTGCCAGACAGGGTCCGACAGCCTTGCAAAATAAAAATCTCGGCAACTAAAATTTGGTGAGACACTGCTTTTAATCATGATCAGTCGTGTCGGAAAGCTCATAACCGAAATGCAAGATGATAGGCATGGAAGGGGCTCGTGAGTGTTGTCGAGGAAATCGCGAAACAATGAAATCGCGTCAACTCTGCCCGAGGCCTGAAGCGAAGCTCTCTCGAATGTGACCGAACTACGAATAAGTGGTATGAACAAGTCTAGTAGCCTAAGATTCTCAACAGAAGATGAAACATTCATTATTGTTGCGAGTCATGCAAGCTGAGTTCACCAGGCATGTTTACTGCCAGCCCGTCGCGCGCAGCTCTGCTCAAATGACACTCAAACGCAAAGATATGCATGCGCATAGAAGAAATCGTTGCTAAAAAGCACAAAAAAAGAATTATGATATTATTGGAACTTCTTACTGAACCAAATCACTTTTTAGATAAATAATGTGAATTTTTAAGGGTTATTTCTATAAAGAAACATGTGACGATAAAGCTGGGATAGCTAAGAATTCGGGCCTGTTCATCGCGGCATATCACATTATTGCTGTCCATAAGGATACCAGAAGAAAAGAGTTCAATTTTTGGGGTGCCGAGTACAATGAATTGTTTGTTGAAGGCAAGACAGTGAAGACATGGAACTTCACCAAGTTCAATGAGTTTCACAATGAACAATATGATGACTTCGAGATGGTCGTCGGATTTCTTGTTGTACGAACTGATACAAAACGCAAGAACGACAATCCTGTTGTGTTTGAGCACCGAAATTATACCTACAACAAGTCAGAACCAGGAACAGGGGACGACTTTTCCTCTATGTATTACGGGAGTACTTTCCGACCTGGTCGCATTGAGATCAAACTATTTGAAGACGACAAGCTTACAAAATACGAACGTACATTTCTGTGAGTGTTTGCATTCCATCGATACTAACAAGGGAGGTGTTTTCGGTCGAAGTGGCCTTTTCAAATGGAATTGATACGACTGTAAAGAGCATCAAACGCTGATTCCAAATCTGTCTTCGTTATCTGCCGAGCGTCCCTAGACGTCGAGTTATGAGCGTTTTTTAAGTTGAGAAATTAAATGCAAACTTGGGACAATATTCGTCAGAATTGCTCAAATGGTCCAATGTTATTTATCAAGGCACTTTATTCAAACAATATCTTTTACCCAAAGCATTCATACTTAACACTGCTCTATTTGAGCGCTAATAAGACTGTAAAATTTTATTTTACTTAGAATATGCGTTCATTTTTCGCACCAAGAAAATATTCATAGCTCAACGTCTAGAAGCGCTCGGCAGATAACGAAGACAGATTTGGAATCAGCGTTTGATGCTCTTTATAGTCGTATCAATTTTATGTGAAAAGGCCACTTCGACCGAAAACACCTCCCTTGTAAGATCTTTTCTCCTATTATTGCTAATACCTCCTCCATGACGAAGGCGGTCGCCCAAATAGGTTGAGAGCATGTTAGGCTGACGCGCACGCGGCGCGCGGGCAATTGTCAACCACGGGTCGCGCGCACGCTCGCGTGGATGACTGCTGACCTAGCGTGCGCGCGCCCTGTGGTTGACAATTGCCCGCGCGCGGCAGCCTTGCATGCTTTCAACCTATTTGGGCGACCGCCTTCGTCTTGGAGCAGATATTATGTGATCACGCGAAGCGAAGTGATTGCGCAACCCTACCTATGTACCAGTGGCGTACCCAGGATTTCGGCTCGGGGGGGGGGGGCGCGACGAAAAATTTTTTCTAAAGAAGGTGCGTGGCGTTAGCCACGCACTCCGAAAAAATTTTGGGGGTGCTTCCCAAAATTTTTTCGAGTCCCCGACCCCTAAAATCTGGAAAAAGGGGGCGTGGCTAATGCCACGCCCCCTTTTTCTAAAATTTTGGGGTTCTGGGCCCGCGAAAATTTTAAGAATGGTACCAAAAATTTTTTCTGGGTGCGTGGCTAACGCCACGCACCTTCATCAGAAAAAATTTTTTGCCGCGCCCCCCCCCCCCCCCCGAGCCGAAATCCTGGGTACGCCACTGGTACATATGTATAGGGGGTTTCAGTTCTTGGTTAATCCAGTTACTATAATTACGCACGCAGGGACACCACCCAAAGTTTCTTACGCAAAAAACTGCTCAAAGATTCCATGATGTTTCCTCTATTGAAGTTATGCACATTTTTCCTATGCACGTTTTTCCCTTTTACTACTAGCAATTGATCGTTAAGTCAGAATTTCTGCATCTAAAAAGCAATCCTAACGACGGAATGGTCGTAACTTGGTCCAGCCAATCCAAACAAGCTCTGTATCATCGCACTCACCATAGAACTGAGTTCAAATATACGTTTACTATATGTTGAGCGACTACTTCAAAAGAGCTATTAGCAATCGAATATGAGCACTTGTTTGAGTTTAGTGATAAAAAGCAACAGAAGAACTCTTGAAGCCGATAATTACACTAATCGTGAAAACTTCGACTACAGAGAAAAATCGAGTTTAAATTTGCTGAAAGCTTGGATAAGTGTTTTTGAAACCTTATCTGCATACGTGCTTAACGCCCTTATCTACTCCCAAAAAGTATAGCAGGTCATAAATTAATTTATTCAGCGTTCTAAGGCAAGTGCTTTGATAATAAGGGGGTAGATTTAATGTTTTTAAAGCGCTTTACGGTCGTATTACTAGTGAATAATTGCTGATTTTCTTCACAAAATCTCGTCAAAATCTTCTGAGTATAATCGTTCTGAAACCGTTATTTTGCGACATATCTGTAGTGATTTTAATTAGATTGTTCGGAAAGTAGTGTGCATCATCTGTCACGCAATATCGCAACAGAGTGAACACGACTGTGAAAGGGATACTGCTCTATAGAGCAAAGCAAGATCTACAAGAAGAAGTTCAACTACTCGCAACAAGTTTGATTTACATGGAATTTGAAACCAACTTTCATAAACTCCTTCAATGCCTGTTTATTGAAGAAACCTATCAATTCAAAAAAATTCGGGATCCCCTACTTGCTCAGGCATACCCTCTCTGTCAAACACTCGTATACACAGTTTTGTGATTTGTCCATGGCTAAAAATCGGGAACCGCAAATGGCACGCTTTTGTCGAAGCAATTTTAAGCCTCTCTTAGACAGATGATTCTAGAGTATGAGCATTTGGAACTATAACCATGAAAAATCAGTCTGTTATGATCTAGAGTAATATTTTTTCAAAAACCAAAAAGACATAATCGCTTTTTTTTGTATTTGTTTCTCGTGCTCTAGCCATGGAATATTTCCATAAACTGTATACCTAAATGTCTTAGGTGGAGAGTACGTGCCGTGCAAATTGAAGATTCCTAAGATTGAACAGAGATACACTTTTTTGAGAGTCTCTGAAATTTTCTATATTTTGACTGCAAAACCAGTGGCCGTATTCATCAACGAACCCTTAGAAGAGCGAACCGAGCAATCAACCCGTATTCACGAAACAGGGTAGGCTTAACTTTGAGGGTTAAATTTACCCTTGAGGGTAAACCTTACCTCGGAAAGCGATTAACCCGGATTCGTCAACGAACCCTGAGGGTTAAACTAACCCTGGAGGGTGAAACTTACATCCGAGAGCGAATAACCCGTATTCATCAACGTGATTCATCAGGGTTAATTTACCCCTAGCTTAGAGCAAGGTTAAATCTACCCTAACACTTCACACGAACATAAAGTGCATCTCTCGATGCACCACTTAACCCTAACGATACTATTCAACAACTAACACATATTTCTAACTAGCTGGCTTACCCGGCTCCGCCGTATCCGGACCAAACTTGGCACACATACACTTCGGGCCCCGGCGGGTGTCATAGTCCACTTTTCGTTATCGATCGATGTCGATTTTACCGATTTTTATCGATTTTTTTGCAGAATTCACCTACAGGGCTAGGAGTTGGCACAGGGGGAAGTGAGCATGGGGATTCCGAATACAATATTAGTTTTCAGAATTATCGATTACTTTTATTGATTTTATCGATTTTTTGGCAGAGTTCACCTACAGGGCTAGGAGTTGGCACAGGGGGGAAGTGAGCATGGGGATTCCGAATACAATATTAGTTTTCAGGATCGTCCATTACTTTTATCGATTTTATCGATTTTTTTGCAAAGTTTGACCTGCGGGGCTGGGAGTTTGCACAGAGGGTAATCGAGCATGCAGATTACGAATACAATATTAGTTTTCAAGATCGTCCATTACTTTTATCGATTTTATCGATTTTTTGAAAATTTGAGCTAGGGGGCTGGAATTTGGCACAGGGGTGTTCGAGCATGCTGATCACCCCCCTTGGGGATGATCAGCATGCTCGATTACCCCCCTGTGCCAACTCCCAGCCCCCTAGCTCAAACTTTGCAAAAAAATCGATAAAATCGATAAAAGTAATCGATAATCCTGAAAACCAATATTGTATTCGGAATCCCCATGCTCGATTACCCCCCTGTGCGAACTCCCAGCCCCGTAGCTCAAACTTTGCAAAAAAATCGATAAAATCGATAAAAGTAATCGATAATCCTGAAAACCAATATTGTATTCGGAATCCCCATGCTCGATTACCCCCCTGTGCCAACTCCCAGCCCCGTAGCTCAAACTTTGCAAAAAAATCGATAAAATCGATAAAAGTAATCGATAATCCTGAAAACCAATATTGTATTCGGAATCCCCATGCTCGATTACCCCCCTGTGCCAACTCCCAGCCCCGTAGGTGAACTCAGCAAAAAAATCGATAAAAATCGATAAAATCGATATCGATCGATGACGAAAAGTAGCCTATGACACCCGCCGGGGCCCGTAGTGTATGTGTGCCAAGTTTGGTCCGGATCGGTTCAGAAATGGAATTTTCTATTCGGAACATACGTACACACAGACAGACAGACAGACAGACAGACAGACAGACATACAGACAAACAGACATTCAGCTTTATATATAAGATTGGCATTATCTCAAGTTTGTTAAAGTCCTCTTCTTCGTCTTATCATATTATAAAAATTAGGGTAAAATTTTTAAGGACTCTATTGTTTGATTCAAAGCGTTTACTGAGTTACGACAGTATAATCATTTAGAAAGTTGTTAACATTGGTGGACTCAAATTCAATTGATGGAGCTCCAGCCGAGCTTTTTTAAAGCCCTCAGTTGTACATGTACTTCACTTACAAATAAATCTTCTTTTACTGTAACAGTCGGCTGAATATAACACCGTTTGATAACATCAAATAAAAACAATAGATAGAGGCCATAGGAAGTTTGACTAATTAGTAACTATAAATATGTCTTTTTGTCAAAAGAGTATCTCTAGAACTGGGTAGCGTATCGAGAGATCACTTGGTGTTCGTACAAAGTGTAAGAGTGAATTTAATCTTGCTCTATGCTAGGGTTAAATCTACCCTGATGAGACACGTTCGTTAATGCCGGTTCAATTAACCTCGAAAGTAAGTTCTATCCTCAAGGGTAGAATTTACCCTCGAGTTTTGTTGATCGATACGGATTGATCGCGTTCCGTGGCAAACCCTACCCTATGCTAGAGAATTCGTTGATGAATACGTCCAATAAACCCTGAGGGTTAAACTTACCTTCTTAACCCTCAGGATTCGTTGATGAATACGACCACACTGAAACAATTTCGCACATATTCGCTTTCGTAGAGCTTGACTTGCTCTATCAAATAATGCCCTATTCTTCTCGATGTCTACCCAGCCGAGGTAGAATGTAATGCGACATCACTCTGCAAACTAATATTATATTATATTACGTGCCAAAGACATGCCAGAAGCTGTTTATGCACTGTTTTGTCTACAAGAATTTTCATCTTTTGATTAAGTATAGGCTGTTTTCAACCAATATCGGCCGCGGAAGCTTACGAGATAACGTTGAGCGTCCGGGTGCAAGTAAAGGAAGGATCCTCGGAAGTATAGCGCTAAAGCTGGCCCATGGTAGATTCTTAAACTTTATCAGATAAACGATTCTTTTTATTTCTGTACGTAGATATACATCTTCTCACGGGTGTCTGCTGAATTTCTGACATATTTGTTTTTTGATCTATTAGGTATTTACTATTTTCGAGAGTGAAACACGTAAATGCCATTTTGATTTATTTTTATTTTTTTAAGAGCTCCATGACCTTTGAATGTTGATTATTGATAAGTAGTCTTAGCCAGTGGCGATCCTCTCATTATAGTTAGCATAGTGTGGAACCATAGCATTTATCGGTAGTCTCATTTCTACCTTCTATATTGTCTGAGATGCACATGAGAGGACTGAAACCCAGTAAATGCTAACAAGAGGGGCAAAAAAACTGAGAAAAGTGTCGATTGCGTTCTGTTTGCATGCAGCACCGTTCTCGCGCTCGAATAACAACTTGCCTACGGTGCCGTTGCAGCATTATCTCTTGGGGCTAATGTGACTGATACTGTTTGATCCAGCCTATAGCCTCGTACTGTGCGCGAGTGTGTGATACTAAACCCCCATCCTCAATGTCTCGCTCTTGATCGGGACAGATTGTAATTATTCTGAATGCCATTTCCGCTGCTTGACATGATTTTTACTCCATAGGGACTACACCCCTCCAGAAGATTGCTACGCAACAGGCAGCTGGATTGCAAACGAGGGATTCTATCTTTTGGACAAAACAACGCAGGAATGGTATCCTATTTATTACGACATGTGGAGCGAAGATGTGTTCATCATGTAGTTCGACAGTCATGTAATATTCATTGATTTTTATTTGCAGATTTCTTTTGTGCCATTGTTGACGTTTTTGCTATTTATTTCGGCAATAAACACTGTCGTGTCTAATAGAATGCTATTCATGTCGGAGATAACTAATTAGATGGTCCGAGTTGCCAGAACATCTGGGCGGTGTCGGTTCTTGATATGGTCTGCTTAGCCGCTTAACCAGTGGTTCCTTCTCCCTCTCTTCACATCTTCTATTCACAGATTGCGCAAAAAGGATAGTCCCTATGATATGCGTCCCAGGATATCTCGCACAAAGAAATTTAAGTTTTCATTTTCGTTGTTAAGCAGAAAATGAGCCAAAATAAGCTTCACATGGCAAGTCTCCCCTTCCTTCCATTTGGACAAATGAAAACAGCGAAGAGGATCATTGATAATGCGCCGCAGCAATAAACCAGGATTTTACCCCGCAGATTTTTCACCAATGGCTATAGCAAATTCAAATCGAGGCACTGCATGGTAGATCGCAAACGGATCGCAAAAATATTCTTCACTTGTAATAACGAGCTAAGAGTATTTACGTTGTGTGTTGTGTGTGTTGTGTGTGCTGTGTGTATGTATATACATGTATGTATGTGTACATGTATGTCTGCCTCTCTGTACTTTACGAAAGTCGTAGTACGAATTGCATAACGTCTGTTACCAGCGTGAAAGCCCTCTTTGCAAAAGCACGAACGGAACCGTTGAGCTCATCCCTCGAAAACTGCGTGTCAAACGGATCCACTTGGTTTCTGCCAAGCAAAATCGAGTGCCGTACCACTTTTTGCAAAGCAATGACCTTGTGAAAACAACGTCGAAAGACTTGATGTGTAATGGTTAATTTATATATAATATTATATTAGGTTGTCCCAAAAGTTCTTGCGCCGGATTTTCAAAAAATCATAACTTCCTTTCCTCTCTATGAATTTTCTTAATTTTAACTTTATTTGAAACAAAAAGCTTTCTTTTTACAAAGGTGCCTTTGCTATAATTTGGCACCGGAAGGTTCCACAGCTAGAGGCAATTGAAGGAAATCAGTCGAGATCGGCATTTTCAAAATGGATCACGAAAAATTCTAAAAGCATTTTTATTTGATAGAGAAAATTTAGTACATCATAGTGGTACATTTCCCATAAATTGAAACGAAAAAGATTGAAAGTTAGACACAGATAAAGGAAATCCCTTTAGTTTTCCAATTTTTGAGCATGCTCTAGAATGCCTAAAAACGTCACGGAAAAGACGAGAAAGCCATAAACATAGGTTTTATAACCGTTGTTTATAATTGAGTGAAAATTGTGCCTATCAAGAGCAATTTTGATTTTTATGAAAAAAGCAGACGCAAAAAAAAATAAAAAACGCACTCGATAGGCACGATTTTTCCTCAGCTAGAAAGAGAAGGTCACAAAACCTATGTTTATGACCTTCGCGTCTTTTCTGTGACGTTTTTAGGCTTTTTAGAGCATGCTCAATAATTGCAAAACTAAAGGAGTTTCCTTTATCTGCGTCTAACTCTCGATCTTTTTCCTTTCAATTCATGGGAAAGGTACACTGTAATGTACGAAATTTTCTCTATCGAATAAAAATACTTTCAAAATTTTTCGTGATCCAGCTTGAAAAATGCCAATTTTGACTAATTTCATTCAATTGCTTCTAGCTCTCGGCCTTTTTAATGCCAATTCATGACAAAGGTACAGCTGTAAAGAGAAAGGCTTACTCTCTCAATTGATGTAAAACATAAGAGAATATCTAGTTAGTGGCAAGGAAGTTAAGATTTTTTGAAAATGCGGTGCAAGAACTTTTGGGACAACCTACTAGGCAGCTTTTGAATATCAACCGCAACAAGTCATACACTTCTCATTTCTAAGAAGGTTGCAAAACACTCTTCGATAAAGCAAAGCAATCTCTACAAGATGGCAATCCTGCCCTAGCAACAACTCTGATTCACCACGAGTTTCGAGCAAAAAACTAAAAAGATTCAATTGTCCGAACAATTGAGAAAAATCGTAACTCAGTTCATAAAAACCTACAAAAATTCTAACTTGCTCACGTAAACACAATCCATAAAAGACATCTATACACCCGTTGCCGTATTTTTTTTCTGTTAGAAATCAAGAAAACGGAAATTTTCGTGCATTTGCCAAAGTGATGCTGTGCCGTTCCCACTTAAGCAGTTGTATGCTACAAACCTGTAGAAGTATAAACGTGAGTTTCCAGCTCTCTACAAGCTTTAGTTCTCGAAAAATATCGAATACAGTTTTCGCTAATCATGTGGTCTAAGCTATAATTCAAATTTTTCGAAAACTAAAGCTTGTGGAGAGCTGAAAATTTACGTTTGTACTTCTACAGATTTGTAGTATACAACTACTTATGTAAGAACGGCACAGCAACACTTTGGCAAATGCAGAAAAATTTCCGTTTTCTTGATTTCTAACAGGGAAAAAAATACGGCAACGGCGTGTATAGATGCCTTTTATGGATTGTGTTTACGTGAGCAAGTTAGAATTTTTGTAGGTTTTTTATGAACTGAGTTACGATTTTTCTCAATTTTTCGGACAGTTGAATCTTTTTATTCCGGCTCGAAACTCGTGGTGGATCAGAGTTGTTGCTAAAGCAAGATTGCCACCTTGTAGAGATTGCTTTGCTCTCTCGATTGATATTTTGCAACATACTTAGAAATGAGAAGTGTATGACTTATTGCGGTTGGAATTCAAAACCTGCATTAATTCTGTTACAATCTAATAATATTAAGTTGGTGCAAAAGTTCTGTCGTTTCATTTTCAAAAATTTGTAACTTCGCGAGATTTCAAGGTATTTGCTTGCTTGTGATTTCGTTAAAACGACTAGGTCTTTCGCTTTCAATCTTTGTTTTGTGAAGCTTCTGTTTCACACTGAGTGCATAGATAAAAATGGAAAACTAAGACCATGTAAACTTTGTCGATTTTAAGTTAGGTCACCAAAAATCTAAAATGCTGCAAAAAAATCTGAAATTGTCAGTTTATATGTTTTTTGACCTACCCTTTGCATCTGTGAAAAAATTGTGCTGTTTGGACGTTTCTGTGAGAAGTTATGATTTTCGCGAAAATTGACAAATTAATTGAGTTTGGCGTTTTCCATAGTAAACTCGATATTCATAACTTCTCACAGAGACGTCCAAACAACACAAACTTTCATAGTTGCGAAGGGTAGGTCAAAAAACATATGTGCTGACGATTTCAGATTTTTCTGCAGCATTCCAGATTTTTGATGACCTAACTTGAAATCGTCAAAGTTTACATGGTCTTAGTTTTCCATTTTTATCTCTGCAGTCAGTGTGAAACAGAAGCTCCACAAAAAACGATTAAAAGCGGAAGACCTAGTATCTCTAAGGAAATTACAAGCAAGCAAATCCGTTGAGATCTCGCGAAGTTACAAATTTTTGAAAATGAAACGACAGAACTTTCGCACCAACCTAATATACTAGGTCGTTCCGAAAGTAATGTCGCTTTCTTCAATTCAACACCACATTTCATGCAATCAAGATTTTCAAGAGATCCTAGGAGCATTCGATACAGCATTTCATTCTCTTTCTAAAGGTTGTAATTTCATTGCATAATCTTCAGAGCCCTCGAGAAATTACCAAAACCTGCGACTCATGCTTTTTGCCATGGTCAAGTTCGGCTATTTTTCTAAATTTTTGTACCTATTCTCCGAAGAAGTGCAAGTGGCAGGTAGATAGAGCAAGCCCTATAGGACACAGTTATTTTTTTCCTTTCTTTAGCTTGCTTCTTCGAGTTTCTGGATCAATTTTTCAATACTATCAAATCCCATATTTGGTCAACTCAAACCTCACAGAACAACAACCGACAAGCAATTCGCGTGTCATTTGACGCAGCTTTTTCTCCTCTTTCTACCAGTTGTTTTTGTTTTTAATTCATCACATTTTCCGGGATAAAACCATCGTAATTCACGTTTGCCAGGGCGCCCCAGGCTGTACCCGGAATTTTGGAAAGTTGCTAATCTGAAGCGGTAAACGCTTATTTGCTTTGCAAAATTAGTGTCAAACCATAATCGATCTTTGTAAGTTTCATAATCCGAAGATTTACTGGTGTTTGATGCATTTGTGTCTGAGACGGCCTGCTAAAATTCGGTGGTTCTATCAAAAATCTATACAAAAATTATGACGAGCTCTGGAAAGTAGAAAAAAGTTGTACTGTTTCCTGTAGGGTTTGCTCTATCCAACCATTACTTGGACTTCTTCCGAGGGTAGTTATAAAAATTTAGAAAAAGTGTGAAACTCAGCCTTCTCAAAAAGCATGGGTCACAGATTTTGATAATCTTTCGAGAGGTTGTTGAATTTTGTGCAGTGGTTACATAATCATTAGAATGAGAATGAAATGCTGCATCAAATGCTACCAGAATCTCTTACTCATCTTTGTTCCACGAGATGTGGCGTTCGTTTGAAAAAAGCGACATTACTTTCGGAACGACCTGATATTAGGTCATTTCAAAAGTTCGTTCGCCAGTTTTTCAAAAAAACATAACTTCCTTCTTGATGGATTTTCTCGATATTATATTTATTTGAAAGAAAAAGCTATGCATTCTACAGCAGTGCCTCTGCCATGAGTTATTATGAGAAAATTTGAAAGTTAGAAGCAGCTGACGACAATTACTCAGGATTGGTAATTTTCAAGCAGGGTCACGAAAAATTCTGAAACTGTTTTTGTTTGAAAGAGGAATTTTCGTACGTTACAATGGCACTTTTCCCATCGATCATTATGAGATAGTTCTCGAGTTAGAAGCATTTGAAGAAAATTGCTTCAATTTTGTAATTTTTGAGCACGCTCAGAAAACCTGAAGACGCCACAGCCGAGATCGAAACAATCATAAACATGGGTTCTATAACCTCCTCTTTCTACTTAAAGCAGTTTCGTCCTAATCGAGAGCAATTTTGACTTTCGTGAAAACGTAGCAAATTTCTAAAAAAATATTACCTTTTATAGGAACATTCGTTCAGCCAGGAGTTTGCCTAGCTAGAAAGAGGAGATCATAAAACATATGTTTGTGTTCGTTTTGTTATTTTTGTAACGTTTTAATATTTGAGC